CTTGCTCACACAGCCAGATGCTGAAGCTGCCTCTTTGCCTTGGTCACACAGCTGGATGCTGAAGCTGCCTCTTTGCCTTGCTCACACAGCTGGATGCTCAAGGTGCCTCTTTACCTCACTCACACAGCTGGATGATTAGCCAGCCTCTTTGCCTTGCTCACACAGCCAGATGCTGAAGCTGCCTCTTTGCCTTGGTCACACAGCTGGATGCTGAAGCTGCCTCTTTGCCTTGCTCACACAGCTGGATGCTCAAGGTGCCTCTTTACCTCACTCACACAGCTGGATGATTAGCCAGCCTCTTTGCCTTGCTCACACAGCCAGATGCTGAAGCTGCCTCTTTGCCTTGGTCACACAGCTGGATGCTGAAGCTGCCTCTTTGCCTTGCTCACACAGCTGGATGCTCAAGGTGCCTCTTTGCCTTGCTCACACAGCTGGATGCTCAAGGTGTCTCTTTGCCTCACTCACACAGCCAAATGCAGTTAATAGTTGCCTCATTTTTCAGGAAGCACCTTTCCAATGTGAGAGAATGACATGTCTACACTATTTTCCATTGTATGCTTTATGGTCGAAGGCTTGTGTATAGTCTGTATCAGGTATTCTACAGGATGTCCGAGTCACTGACTGAGCGTCAAACATGCCAAAAATGAATTCCTGGTACTTTCTAAGTTTGTGGACAACTAGACAGCAATCCTGATTGTGACTCTGCTGTTGCAGGTAATCCAGTTACATGGTTCATGGGTTTTATTGGTGCTGGTCCCAGGGTGCAGAAATGACCCCGTGGCGTGTAAAGGTGAGTCGTTGGCTCTCTGATTATTGCAGTTTATTTAGCATTTGTTTTGTAAGCCTGTTCCAAACTCGAGTCCTGTTCCACCAGTGGGGGGTGATTCTGCTGAGCCCAGGAACCATGGGAAGGTGATTGCGTGGCTAAGGGCACTGCTGGCTCAGAGCAGCCATGGTGTTAATTGTGTTCCGCAGATTCTTTCTGCTTGGCTGTAGAAGAGTACAAGACCCATATATTGTTGTGACTGGGCCAGCAGGCAGACTAGAGAGTGAGGTCAGTATAGAGGGGGTTTTTTCGCTTGCTTACAGTTACTCCCCTTTCATGGGGGGCTTAGAATAGTCCAACCTCTCTATATCTGTATATTTCACTGGGGTGCCTCTGGTGAAGTCCTGTGCTTAATGGTGGAACAGCAGAGCTTCTCCTGGCACTTGAATCAACAACCTTCATGTCAAATCCAGCTCCTTAGCACCAGCTTATCTGCTAACCAGGCACATGGCTTGGAGCAGCAGACTGACATGTGTAGGAGTGGAAGGAGAAAGAAAAGGAAAAACTGGCAAAATAACTGTCAAGGAACGAAGACAGGCTGAAGTTATTAATATATGACAAACATCACTAACAGTCTCCGCATGATATCTGACACACTATGGTTTTCATAACGTGCTGCTGTGGTACAAAAGAGGCAATTAATTGCAAGCTGAAGTATGTATTCCCTTGGCTGGATTTAACTCAACGAGGCATAATCATATACATGAGAGTCACAGTCACTGCTGAGGATTGTGTTTCCAAAAGAGGGGCTCGCAGTTTGGCTGGGAGGGGTTATTTGAATAGCCTGCCTGCCTTTGCTGTAACTGAAACAAGCTGCAGTGATTCCACCGAGTCCCGACACCCCATAATTTGAAAGTAATAATAATAAAGGCAACTGTGTCCATGTTTGTGGGTCCGGTGTTGATAACTAGCAGAGCTGTTAGCCCTATTGACAGGAAGTACTATAAAATCAAACTTAGATGTGACCAGACACATGTCATCTATCACTATATGCTTCACCAGTGAAGAAAAAGGTTTCCTTAAGCTGTTGTGATTTCAGTACGTAAACACTCAAGGTGAACGTTTTCATTCATATGTTATACATACTGATGTAATTGACCATACAGAATTCATTCCATACCATCATTCTTTAAAACTTATTAAATGGCAGCCATGGACACTGTTTATAGCTCCGGAGTCCATGAGAGGAGACAGCACCGCATGCTTGGAATTCTGGGAGATTGCTTCTAGAACTTTTATTGACTAAAGAGAAAGCTTTTGCATATTAATATGTGTTATGTTACACACTGTAGATCTAACTGATTTTTAGGAACAGTGTGTTTAGCAGCCCTTCAGAGATGAGGTGACGGGGGGGACACGGTGACGGGGGGGACACGGTGATGGGGGGGACACGGTGATGGGGGGGACACGGTGATGGGGGTTCAGTTCCTGCTGCATATTTGTGTGTGAGTTTGTATTTTCTCCCTGTATTGCTGTGGGTTGTTCGCCTGTCCAGAAGCAGACTGGTCTTCCATTCTGGGGAGATCCCTGTGCACCCAGGGACAGACTCTAGGCCCACTATGAAAAAGCGGCTTTGGAAAATTGATGAATGACAGTGAAATGGAATACACAAAAATATCGACCTGACAGTTTGGTTCAAGTGGAGCTCAGCAACAACTTTAGAGAACAGCATCGCAATCCTGCAAAAAAAGACGTTTACAAGTGAGTTTCTCAGCTTAATAGGCAGGAGTCCATGGCACAGCAATCAGAGCCAAGACAGGTGTCACCATCAGGACTGAAGGGAGGCTATTCCTGATCCTCCAAGAAACTCAAAAAGGGGGGCAGGGATATGTGGGGGCGTGAAACCGTCTCCAGGATCTGAAGGGGTTCTGTGTTGAAAAAACCCCAAAAAAGTAAAGCAGCAGCACTGAAATTGACGCCCTGTCGTGTTTTATACGATGGCTTAGGATAAATGAACTTTTAAAGGGGGTCTTGGCAGGGACATGGACTATCGATCGACCGGAGCTGGGAGCCGCAGTTTAAGGGCACCACTATCCAGGGGCCCCAGGCTGTAACTGGAGTAATGAAATTGATTGGTCCGCGGGAGGGTGACATGCCAGAGGAGTCAAGCCCTTGATGTAAGGAAACAAGAGTGGCATCTAATTGGGGTGTAATGTGGGCCTTTAGAGGACATTAAGCACGGTGGATGGTGGGGGAGTCGGGGGGAGGTGGGGGGGTCCCGTTCCTGCACGGCGTTCTAGCTGCTGCTTGTGGTGACTGATTTCCCGGCTCCAGTGACTGCATCACTGGCAGCCACGCATGCACAAAAAATGTGAATGAGCAGGAATTTGAAATGGCTCTGAAAACATTCCAAACTGGGAGTGCCGTCAAACTGGCCTCATTCCCCTCCGTCAGACAGACACCCAGTCCAAGATTTACGCCCATTTCTGTTATCCGGTGCCCGGAAAAGCAGAGGCAGAGATTCATTTTGGGTAGGTTGGGGGTCCATCTCATCAGTTAACCAAGTTTATGACAATAACGTGAAAAGCTTTCATAGGTTTTGGGAGGTAGAGCCAGGCCTTAACAGGAGCCCGGCTGCGTGCCCACGCTGAAGAACAGCCTGGAGAGAATGTTTCACACACCAACTGCTGCCAATGATCCCGGCCTTTTCCCTGTAAAATCCTGGAGCTCTTTTATTATTCATGTTTTTGAACAGATGCTTTTATCCAAAGTAGTTAGTATGGATGACAATGTTACGCTTTACACAAACTCCACATCTACTTAGGCAACTTCAGCGAGATGCTTCTTCAAAGGAGCTTCAAGTGGTTTCTGCTCAGGATCTGAACCAGAAGCATTTTCAGTACGGAGCGTAAAATCTGCCGTCTGCCCTGCCGCCGTCACTAGAGCAGATCCCCTGTGAGGGATGCTGTAGACGGGCAATGATAGGTTTACTGCATTTCAATTGTAATTCATTACAAATTATATTAGCAATACAAACCATTACAAGATGGGGCAGATAGCAGAACCATGTGACACGGCAATGAAATAGTGACTTTATCTGGGTATGCTAGTGGAAATGGGTTTAACCAAATCACCCATCCCGCAAACAGTCTACCAGTACATGCCTTGGGGGGCTGCAACCAATCATAGGCAGCCATTGGCAGTGTTTCACAACCCAGACCCCTAGCTAGGACCCCCAGGACCCAAGGAATTCAGTGTTCCTGATTGGTTGGGAGCCGGGAGGGAGCAAAATGTGAACTGTCTGGGGTTCCCCAAGGATCGCACTGGGATACACTGGCCCAGGGCGTAAGGCCAGGAAACACCCTTGTTGGAATGCCAGTACCCCCCAGGGCACACAGTACCCCCCAGGGCACACAGACATATCCACGCACACCGCACCGAACAGCTATCCATAGGCTCCTATGTGTCGCTCACTTACACTGACTGAGTGTACAACCACCAAACAATGGCGTGCACTACGGATAGTGACACCAGCTACTGTGAAAACGACACCACACACAAGGAGGCCTGATGCAGGCATAGTGGAGCACGTCCCCCCTCCATGGGACAGTCAGGAGTCGCAGGACGAAGACAACATTAATGGTGAGACATTAAGGTCCAACTTAGATTTCCAAGTTCAGGCCAAAACGGGGGGCAAGGGGGTCATTAAAACCCCATTACCGGGGCATATTTCAGACGTTAGACCCCCAGCTTGCATCCTAAAGTGCTAAAAGCTCAGCGCATATTAACCAGGACGACGCAGTGGCACGAAGACCCTCTGCGCAATCCAGTGATCCAGTGACCTTGTCGTTCATTAGCTCTTGGACACTTATCAGTCATAACTGCTATAACTGCTCTTGCCCCCTCCCCCGCCCATTCCTCCCCCCCACCATTTCACTTAGGCCAGAAAATAATGGCCAAAATCCATTTGTTCGCCATTTCCGACTGGAGCGTGACGCTAACGAATGATGCTTTTCCCTAAGTGTGGCCGAGGTCCCCCTACAGGACGCCGTGCCGCCATCCACTGGCCAAGGTCGGCCGCCTTAAAGCCGGCTTTTACGCCACAGCGATTTCCTCCTGCACTTCTTTAAGTATTAATGGGCCTGTCTGTAAGGCCACTCTCTACTCGGGGCAGCAGAGTCGTTCTACTTCTGCACATATTCATTGGAACGTGTCCTCTTTCAGCTACGCGCCGCTACTTCTTCCGCACAGTTTCCTGCTCCGTGCCCCTCGCCCTGGAAGCTCGAAGGGGAGCGGATGAATCTAATTATACGCACTCTTCCAGCCTTATTCGGTATCGACTTCTCGAGAAAGGTGCTTCACCCGTTAATAGAGATCAGCTCCAGAAGGCAGAGATCAGCCCCCCCCCCCCCGCCCCTCACTCCCCCAGAGAGCTTAAAACGCAAATTCACAAAGAAATTACCAACAGGCAAGTATATTAGAACCTCTTGTGCTCAGACTGAAGTATGCTTGTCATACCTTTTACTGAGTGAAGCGACTGGTTAGGAAATACCTGACTGTTCCAGTGAGGTCACGCTTAGGATAAACAGCAGTTATGCTATTAGTTCAGACCTGTGAGTAACAATGTCAGAGAGGCATGAGGCCATGGATCTCCAGGGCAAAGTCGGCAGACGAGCGTTTTCTCCTGTAGTCGGTCGCCTGCGGTATGAACCGCCCACATTCTCATTCGCCAGGCCTTCCGATCACATACTCCACCCGTGTCCCAGCACCTGTGCTATTACGGGATATTTCATTCCTCCACTTTGTTCCAGATGAAGCAAATCTTACTGGCAAATAATCAAGGAGCCAAACCCAAAGCGAGGCGTGTAAACATGTTCACCTCAAAGCGTGTTCTGCTGCAGGCCACAGCACAACACGCGGCCTGTGCACATGACCTTCAGAGCCGGGCGACACATCAGGCTTGCAGTGCCAGACTTCCAGGTGTTGTAAGTTCTTGGGAAAGCAGGCGTGTATCTCTGATGTGTGTAAGGGGGGGGGGAGCGCGTAAACATACAGCGGCGACACACTGGGGGTCCGGGTCGGGCCCCCAGCGGTCGCTAAGGGGCTCTGAAGCTGCCGGTGAGCACAGATAAGTAAATCCGAGGAGAAATTCTTTTTCCAGGAAAACAGGAAACCTTTGTCTCAAGCACTTTTCCCCAAGTCTGCCCCCCACCATCGTGTTAGAAAACACGCCAACGTTCTGTGTTCAACCCATCTCGCTGGCTGTAGTTTTAAATATTCGGACGCATCCCGTGTAGCGGATTCCTACTTAAAACGGTCATGATTTTTTAATTTTGTAGCATTAATGGAAGTATTTGATGAGTGGGGGATGCTGGGGGGGGGCGTTAGACAGGCATTTGCAATTCATATTTCCCTGCATGATGGCATTAGGAGTTTGTCCTGTCACACTCCATTAATGTAGGTTGTTGTCTTTAAAATCATACTAAAATATGAAAACTGACAGAAATGAGTCTATTACAAAGAATTATCAATTTTTTATCATCTACTCAAGGAGGAAAAAGAAGCAGCATAAAATCTGTAATCTGAATTTTTCAACATGGGCAATCAGTGTTTCCTGTAAAGAGCGTGTGTGTGTGTGTGTGTGAGTGTGTGTGTGTGTGTGAGTGGGGGTGCACCAGGGCCTTTGTGACTGTCCCATATACCCACACAGTTTCACAGGAGTGACCCTGTTCGCTGCCTTTAAACGCAGCAGCTGCAGTCGT